AAAAAAAAAAAAAAGAATATATGATAGCTTATTTACTTATATTCCTCTGTGTTGGACATAAGATTTTTTCAAAATTTTTTATATTCTTAATAATGCTCACTGAGCACATAAATCTTTGTATCTCTAATGACAAGTTCCTAGAAGCAGAATAAGCTTAAGGCTTTTGATCTATATTACTTAGCTGTGCTCCAAAATTTCTGCCAACATTTAATTTGTACCTACAGTGTTTTATGTTCATTTCACCACACAATCACCAGCAATAATATAATATTTTTTAACTCTTTCACAAATTAAGAGGGAAGAAATTTAACATGTACTTATTTGAATGTGAATTTCCATATTAGTTATATTATCTATTTATGACTTTTGATCATTTTTCTATTGGGGTATTACAAGTATTTGTGTGGTTTTTAATTTGGTAAACCTCTTCATAGAGTAAGGCTATGTATCCCTTTGTCATATTTATGATAAGTATTTTTTCAGTCTTAACGCTTAATGTAGTATGTTCATTTTTCATTTTCTTGCACTTGGTAACTAGAAAAGCCTTCCTCTGCTAGGGAGAGTTAACTGTTGACTCATTTTCTCTCTCTGTGAGGGGGTGGTATTATGGTTTCATTAGTAATAATTATTGTAAGTAACCTAAAAGGGATCATTTAGCAATACTTCTATAAAGACATGAGAAAGCAATACGAGGGTCTCAGGAATATAAAGGTGTCTTAAAATCAAATAACTTTGTATGTACCTTTTAACTAGAAATATTTCAGTATATAAGCTTTCTTCCTTATATCAGTACTATATGGTTCAAAAGCAATGTAACACTTTAAGGTATATATGCTAATATAGCTAATTTTTTTTTTTAGAAGGACCTGTCTTAATTTGCAAAAAACTGAACAAGGTGCTGATTCACAGCCTCATCTGAATTGAACGTTATACCATGCAAGGAGTTTTGAAGGGAGCAAAACAAGTGGAAGTTTGATGGCGCAAGGTCAGGCGAGTATGGTGGATGTGGCAACACATCCCATCCAAGCTCCAATAATTTTTTTTTTATTATTAGTTTCAGGTGTAAAAAACAATGCAATAGTTATCCTTTTCACCCCTCACAAAGTGACAACCCCCCTCCCCCCATCCACTGCCCCTCCATTTCCGATATCATACTTATCTATTACAATTCCATTGACTCCATTCCCACACTACACTCTACATCTCATGACTATATATGTATTAAATTATAGTTGACATATATTATTATTTAGTGGCAGCTTCAGATGTACAGTGCAGTGGTCAGGCCTCTACACCGTCTATGAAGTGGTCTCCCCAACAAGACATGAGTCCATCTGGCCCCCTAAAAAATATTTACAACATTATTGATTATATTCCCAGACTCTTTTCTATCCCTGAGGCCATATTGTAGTTACCAATTTATGTTGTCTCATCCCTTCCCCTTCTCCTTCATCCCCACCCCCTCCCAACTAGCCACCATCAGTTTTTCCTCTGTGCCTCTGAGACTATTTCTGTTTAGTTTGCTCATTTATTCAGTTCTTTAGATTCCACATATAAGTGAGATCATATGGTATTTGTCTTTCTCTGACTGACTTATTTCACTTAGCATAATGTCCTCTAGGTCCATCTATATCATTGCAAATGGTACGATTTCCTTCTTTATAGCTGAGTAATACTCCATTGTGTAAATGTACCACAGTTTCTTAATCCAGTCGTCTACTGATGGGCATTTCAATTGTTTCCAAGTCTTGGCTATTGTGAATAGCGCCGCAATGAACATAGGGGTGCATATATTTTTTTGAATTAGTGTCTTGGGTTTTTCTGGATAAATACCTAAGAGTGGAATTCCTGGGTCATAAAGTAGTTCCATTTCCAGTTTTTTGAGACACCTCAGTATCTGATTTCCATAGTGGCTGCACCAGTCTGCAGTCCCATCAACAGTACACCAGGGTTCCCTTTTCTCCACAACCTTGCCAGCACTTGTTGTTTGTTGATTTATTGATGATAGCCATTCTGACCGGGGTGAGGTGGTATTTCATTGTGGTTTTAATTTGCATTTCCCTAATGATTAGTAAGGTTGAGCATTTTTTCATATACCTGTATGAGGCCTTCTGTATGTCCTCTTTAGAGAAATGTCTCTTCATATCCTCTGCCCATTTTTTAATTGGGTTGTTTGTTTATTTGGTGTTGAGTTGCATGAATGTTTTATAAATTTTGGATATTAACCCCTTATCAGATATATTATTGACAAATATCTTCTCACATTCAGTAGGCTTCCTTTTTGTTTTATTGATGGCTTCCTTTGTTGTGAAAAAACTTTTAAGTTTGATGTAATCCCATATGTTCATTTTTTTCTTTTATTTCCCTTGCCCGCAGAGATGTATCAGTAAAAATATAGTTCAGGGTAATGTCTGAAAATTTACTCCCTATAATATAGCTTAATTTTTAAAAAGTTTTTACTCACTTGTGGTCATGATGTTAGGAGGGCAAGAGGGTATTCCATGATCTACAGCCCATCTGTAGGCTCCTTCTCCAACTAAAAAGCTAACAGAAAAATTATTCTTTTAAAATTTCACAGTGTCATCTTCTATATATTCAATAAAATAATATAAGTAATATAGTAAGGCAACTAAAAAAAATCTTGCATATAGACATAACTGTTTATTTACTTCAAAATTATATGGCTATATGCCCAAAAAATTCTTTAAAATTTTTCCTATTAGAAATTTTACAATTTGAAATGGCTCCATTTCATTTGCAATAACTAACAAGTAAAAATTGGCCAAATTTAACATAAGAGGTAAAAAAGGTTGATTTCCCAGTAGAAAATATTAAGGTTTATCTTGGATCAACATGGTTCTCAGTTTACATCACAAGATCTATTTAATTGGGTTAAGAGTCAAAATTTAGGAGAATGTCTTCAGATATGGTCTTCTTGCCTAGTATAACACCTGGTAAAACTCAAAATCAGTGGGTACATCTAGAGATGCCCAAAAACAATGAGACATGCTTATATTTCTAAGCCTTGATACAACAAAAAATATATACCTGACCCTCAGAATCATTTTTGTCTGTGGTAAGTAAAGTACTAAGACATGTCCCAAAAGTAAATTTTAAGCCCCAAAATACAAGTTTTAACATAACAAAGTGAATAAAAGGATATGATTAGCTAACTGAAAAAGACTTATTTTGAAAAGTTTCAAATAGCATGCAGGATAATTAACCACCCCATCTCTAACACATAATAGCAAGCAGTTACCATTATAATCAATCACTTCATCTCCTTCCATAGCCAACTTCTTAAAGATCTCAGCCAACTAGTAATGGATTCCTTGAACAAGTGCCTACTCATTAGTTTCCTGTTCCCTACTTTTTGTTTCTGTTCTAATCATTCCAACACTAAAAATTCAAAGCAATACATATTGAAGCCTTTAGATTCGATTGTTAATAAGATCAGTGACAGACTGGCAAAACGCTAAGTAGACACTCAGAAACATATTCAAATGGTTGCAATGAAAAATTAAATGGATAAACCCAATAACTGTTTTCCATTGTACATAAAGGTGGGGATGGAGGGGGCACTGGAAAAAGAGAGAAGGCCAACAAGAAAAAACAACTTTACCTCTCTAAACTTCCATTTTTTTTTAATTCTAAAGGATCCTGAAAATAGAAAACAGTGTCTCCTATTCCATCAAATGAAGAACACTGCAAAGAAACTGTAAAGAAAAGCTACCACATAAAGTTCAAATGGAAGAATAACTCAAATAGAAACTTGAATGTGAATTGAGCTGTACTGGTGGCATTTTTAGCACTTCCTTCTTCAAGCAAAATAATTTAAGAAATAACTTCTCTTCATGTGAAGATGTGAAAGAGATGCTGAAGTAATAGATTAAATGATGAGGACAGAAGTTTAGAGCTGAATCTAGTATTCTCATCATGCCCATGCCCATTGGTCATTTTGGGTTTAATCCCAGTATCTGGAATCAAAGGCATTTTACAAAATATTATTAGTTTTATTTTACATTTCTTAATCATTCATAGGTTTTCGTTCTAAATAAAATGAATTTGCCACTGTCGGCTATGCAAGTCTTTAATAGTTCAGGCATTTTACAACATTCATAGAAAGGTGAATATTTGGGTGCATCTCATGGATAACAATATTAAATATTTGATCTTAAATTACGATCAAAAATTACTTGTCTAGTAGCTCATCATAAAACAAAACGGCAGATAACTGTTTAAAATGCTATATGTAAAGCTACATGAGCTTTTGCAAAAACCTATATTAACACGTCAAAAAAAATCACTTTCCAAAACATTAAATGCAGTACCAATTCAAATTCCTCTGTTGACTCTCCAAGGAGAAAACTTTTAGAGAAGTTTCATCTCAATCAAGTTACAGAATCCCATTGATTCTACCTTCACAGTACATCCAGAATCTGAACACTTCTCACTACCTCCACTGCTACCACCATGGACTGAGCCACCATCACTGTTATCTGGATTGTTGCTTTGGCCCCATTACTGTCATGCTTGCCTTGCTCTGACCCCAACCCCAGGGTATTCTCACCAGCCACTGACATCCTTGTAAAACACAAGTCAGAATCATGACTCTCAAAACTCTGCCAAACCTCTCATGAGAACTCTTGTGCAAAAACTGAAGTTTTCACAAGAATCTACAGTCTCCCAAGTGATCCAATCCTTCTGCCCCCTAATCTCATCTCTTCCTCCTCCTGCCCCTCCTAACATGATACACTTTGTAATTTACATATTATATCTATTATTTCTATCTTCTCCAAATAAACTGTAAGCTTCATAACAGCAGGAATCTTTGTGTTTTCTTCAATATATACCAAGTATTTAGAATGGTGTCTAAAGCACATTAAATAAACATTGGCAAGATGTTAAAAAAATAAACTAGAGTGTCAAAATTCCCTAAAGGACAATATTTTCCTTGCATTATACCCACCTTAATTTACATTAAAGGAGGTCTAAAGTGATATAAAACAAAAACAACAATGTTGTAATGAGACCAGCCCTGAGGTGGGATGATTAAACCTTGAATAAGCTAAGCTGTAAGTGCTGCTGCAAATGCTAGCACAGCCAAACATCACAAAAAGGGCTTTCTGGGCAAATATAATGATGTGAATTATAATCTTATGGATGGGATTATACCCATCTTCACAGAACCAAGACTCCATAATCAGTCTAAAATTGTGTAATAGTGATTCAGAAAGCTCTCAAAAATGCTCAGGGGCCCCAATAATCAAATTACATTAGATGAGAAAGATATAGCAGAAAGCGATAGCCACTTTTTGGACTTAAAAACTGATTTCTGGGCCGGCCATGTGGCATGTTGGTTAAAAGTTGGCTTGGGAGTGCCGACTCTGAGAAGCAGGTCCACAGTTCGGATCCCACATGAGGGCCAGTGACGCTGCGCCCTCTATAGCTAAGATGATGAACAACAACTCAACCTGGAGCTGGGCTGCCGTGAGTCACCGATGACAGCGTAGGCTGCAGTGGGGCTGCAGTGGGCTGCCATGAGCTACCGTGAGTGGCTGGCAGTCAGTGTGAGTGGCCGTCCAGTGGCCAGTGACCAATCTGCCTCACCTTGGAAGAGCGCAACGATAATACCAACATGAGCCAGTGAAGTGATGTCCTCCATAACCAAACTGAAGAACAAAAGGACAGCAACTTGCCTGTTCCCCTTCTCCGATTCCCCAACACTGTCCCCCTCTCAATTCCCCAATAAAATCTTTAAAAAAAAAAAACAACTGATTTCTATTTTTACCTATCACTTCTTTGTTCATTGTAAATATGCAAAATTGAGGAATGATAAATTACTGGCTATTGATTATTCAAAGCTTACAAACACATAAAGTTCAAATAAAGGAGAACTTGCTATATTTAGAGAAAACATATAACAAATTAAAAAATAAGAATGTAACTTTAGGGCCGGAGAGCTCAGTCCAGAGTGTGAGCTCTGAGCAACAGCAGTTCGATTCCCAGCCTGAGCTGAGCTGCCGCTGCACTGCCAACAGGTGGCAGGATGGCTCAGCTAATAAACAAAAAAATTTAAAATAAATTTAAAAAAAAAAAGAATGTAACTTTAAAAAAAATTTTTATTACAAAAATTTTCAAACATATACATTATAAAGAACAGTGTAATGAAACCAATAGATTAACCTAGTTTATCAATTATTAACACACTGCTAATCTCACTGATTTATACTCACTCCCACCCAGATAATTTTGAAGCAAATCTCAGATATCATATAATTTCAAATATGAGCATTTTGCATATATCTAAAAAACTGACTTTTTAAAAAACCTAACAGCACAACCACTTGGCACCTAAAAATTTTTAACAATAAATCCTTAGAATCAAAATATATTCAGTAGATGTTCACATTTCCCTGACTGTCCTATAAAAGTTTTGCTATTATTTTTATTTTGTTTTTTAAACTGTTTGGTTTGAATAGAAATCCGACTAAATCTAGACCTTCTTATTAGTTAATAGGTCTCTTATGTTTCTTTTAGTCGTTAGGCTTTCAAATTTTCTTTTCACATTCATACAACAAAAGTAGTACAAATTTCAATCAATTTATGAAGTACAATAGATTCAATGGTATTTTAAAAGAAACAATGCACCAGAACTTAAATTTGCCTCTCAAAAAATCCAAGGGTCTAATGAGCATCTTAGGTTTTATTCACACTAAACATAAAACGATGCTTATCTAGCTTTCTCTTTTTCATTAAAAGAAATGTGATTTTCAAAAATTATAACCTCGGGCGTGGCCGGGTGGCTCAGTTGATTAGAGTGCGAGCTCTGAACAACAGGGTTGCTGGTTCGATTCCCACATGGCCCAGTAAGCTGCGCCCTCCTCAACTAGATTGAAAATGACTTGAGCTGAGCTGCCGCTGAGCTGCCGGTGGGTGGCCAGATGGCTCAGCTGGTTAGAACGCGTGCTCTTAACAACAAGGTTCATGGGATGATGGGCTGCGCCCCCACAACTATTGGGTTGTCGGGAAAATCATAACATATTTTTCCTATGTTTTTCATTGCAAAAATGCATCATGACTTTTCCGACAACCCAATAGATGAAAAAAACAAAAATGATGACTGGACTTGGAGCTGAGCTGCGTCCTCCACAACTAAGATGGAAGGACAACAACTTAACTTGGATCTGATGGGTCCTGGGGAAAACACTATTCCCCAACAAAGTTTAAAAATAATAATAATAATAATAACCTCTATATTAGGAGTTGGCAAATTTTTTTCTGTAAAGGGCCAGATAATAAACAGCTTAGGATTTATAGCCAGAATGTTCATAATGCTCAAGCAGCCATAGACAATACATACACAAGTGGGTATGGCTGTGTTTCAATAAAATTTTATTTACAAAAACAGACAGCAGACCAGATTTGGCCAAACCCCTGTTCTAGATGGTTAATGCCTATCAAGGTTATATCCTGTGATAATGGAGAAAAAAAGATTGAAGCTATACTTTTATAAATAAAATAAACTTGGAGAAATGTGACAC